TCAAACCAGGAACCAGACCTCCAGATGAATAGAAGCAAGAAAGATGTCCCTGTAATGTGCTATGTTCCACTCAAATCAAACACTGAAACTGTCCCAAATGCAATAATGTCCTCAGCATAAAAACGTTGAGGGGTAGTGTAAGAGGAAGAAGTGGAGCAACCAAGTGCACCCACTGTGACCCACAACACTGGGGTAGTGCACTCAAGGTGAATTGATTGAAGGATCAGGGACACCCTGCACACATGTGTGAGGAATTATGTTGATTGGTTCAGCTCCAAATCCAAAATTCAACCACTGTGAACTGATATACATGAGAGGGTAGGATGATGGATCCCAATTGCACGATATGTGTGAGGACACATTGTGATTGGTTCAGCTGTAAATCCAAAACTCAACCTTCAGGAACTGACATTCATGCAGGGGTAGGATGAGGGATCCCAATTGTCACAACATGAATGTCAAGAATACGTGGATTGGTTCAGCTCTAAAACCAAAACTCAACCACCAGGAACTGACTTTCATGCGGGGGTAGGATGAGGGATCCCAATCATTATGATGGCTCACTCCAAAGCTACAACATCCCCTTGTACAAAGCTATGCAGAGAAGAACCATTCATTTGGAGATCATCTCGTCATCTACAACAGCAAAACACTACCACCATATCTTCAACTGAATGGCGTCTTTATTGTTTATATTGTATATCTCTCATTCTGGTATATCTCCATGGTCCACCACCCCATTGGCTTAGAGCAAGAAAGTGGTATCAACTTTCATACTCCACTGTAAGAAATAGGGAGGGGGGAGATAAAATTACGGTGGAGAGTCTGGAGGAACATTCACACCGGAGACAGTGTAATGGGTAATCATGAAACCCTAGTTATCTACTTTGATCATCCATAAATCTAGATAAAAAGTCCACCTGAGGGTAAGAAATGACTCCATGGTAAATCGAGGTAGCACCAAAAAGTGATTAAGGTGGGACAGATTGATCACAGGCTGCCAGTCTCCAGTTTTCTTGGGTACCACAAACAGCCTGGAATAAAACCCCGGAGAAAGGTGAATGACAGGTTCAATGACATTCTGAAAGAGAAAATCCTGAACCACATAGGACAGATGCTGATGTGTGGTAGGAAACCGAGGCAATGGAAAGGAGATAGGTATCTAAGATAATGGGGGAGGTGAGAGGAAATTTATGACAAGTTCCTCAGATAAAATCTTAAGAACCCAGAGATCCTTAGCAAACTCTCACCATAGAGGAACAAACGAACCCCCACTGGACCAGAACCCACAGTTTAGTCACTGATACTGTTGGCAGCGTGACTCTATATCGAATAAAACAACAATAGGAAGATTCCTTGGAGGAAGGAACGGGTAAAGGATGGGAAATAGGGGATGGTCGAGGTTCAAAGCGAGACAAAATGATCAACCAATGAACAAAGAGTCAATTGTTGTCTCACTGATTCCACTCTAGGATTCCAAAGTCATCAGAAGATCTCCAAATATTGACCTATGGAGAAAAGGGGCCAAGCATAAGTTCCTAAGATAAGTAGGTGGCAAGCGAACTTGGGACAATACTGCATCACACCCCAAAAGATCCCAAAACCAAAGGAACTACATATGCAAAGAAAAAGCCAAAGTCAACAAATGCACCAACATGGATGTAAGTAGGGCAAATTTATCCCCCAAGAAACCCTCAGGATCTTAATGGATTGCCTCAGAGAGGTGGATGGTGTACAAGTACAGTAGGATAGATGTGAGAGTAAGATGAGGGCGAGAAAATTGGGCATAGGATAAACAAACAGGATAATCAGAGTCTGACCATCAAACAGATAAAATTAATTGTAGGTGCTGAGAATTAAGGAACAGAAAATCAGCCTGATGGTAGGCTAAAGCAAACTGATCCGAAGCCCACGAAGCGTGAGGCATACTAGCACCCTCATGTAACTGAGATACAAAATGCTCAGCATGAACCCCAATATCATGGGAAATGAGAAACACAATACTGAGAGGAAGGATTACCGTGCAACAAGGAAGGGAGATGATTATAGGAAACTAGAGAGAGGGATAAAACAGACATAAAACATACCCATGAAATCATGTCCAAGAAAGCCATACGAAACCTAGTCGATCCCGCAGTATGAACTTGGGAAGACACGGCAAATTCAGGTGGAGATAAAAGGCTGTCAAATACTTCGTCATCCCAAACACGTCCAGGAGGAAAATGGGCAACATCAGGAGAAAAAGGTTGGTTCAAATAAGGATCAAACTCTTGATGAATAATTGCTGATAATTCCATAGTCAAGGTGTCCCCTCACCTGAAGCCTGTGTAAATGTGCTGGTAGAAGGTGGAAACTTGAAGTTCGGAATTCATAATTCAAAATGAATAATCAAATACAATTATGTTGGTAAAAAGAAATAAAAATTACAAAAAAGTTTGTAACTAATGACTAAGTTCTGTAACTGCGTAGAAATGTAAAATAATTCCACTTTGCAATAAGTTACAAATTAGTACTATTTGATGATAAAGAGTAAACTCAATAATAGTAAATCGATATGAAGAATAAGAATAAGAAAAAAAAATGAAGACGGCACAAACTAAACGTCTGTACACGAGCACTGCCAAATGAGAAGTGATAGGTACAATAGCATAGAGAGAGTTACATGAGTTAAGTGGGTGTGTGGTGCTTCTATTGGTGGAGCTTTGTTTGCATGTGAGAATTAGTTAAACCATGTGAATTGAGGGGTACAAGGGAATGAAAGGCTTGTGACGTGCAAAAAAAATATAAAAATTGTAAACAGAGGGAAGCACTGAAAGAGAATAGCTAGGTATGTGAGTGGAAGTAAGGTACCTTGTTGTAAATGTGTTTTTCAGAAAAACTTTTGTATTTTATCTGTTATTTTTTATACTATAATCCTACACAGAGTCAGTTGATTTGACAGACCTCATAACAACCATAAAAAGTTATGAAACAATACTGAATTATCATTTTTTTCTTTCTGGAATGAGTGCAAATTGTAACAGGAAACCACAATTGTTTATCCTAAACAGCTTAAAGCCCTCTGAACCATACCTAACTAATAATCCCCCACATAAGTTGTAAATCACATGGCCAAAGCGTAACTCATATCACCCTATCGAATTATGTAATACAAAGGCTACTCGTGAGTATACCTTAAGAAGTTTTATTATTATTATTTTCTCTTTATTTTACCTAATCTAACCTAATAAGTTTCTAATTTTTACATGAAAAACAAGACATATAGTACTTACCTCATTATTTTTTTGCTGTTGATTGTTGATGAAATTTAAGCCTACTTTTTATACTAATGGTACTACCACACTAAATAATATTTTATTTAACTAAATAATGCACCAAAGAGTACAGAATAATAACATTCAAAAGAAGACAATATCCAATAACTAACATAGCTTTTCTGACTTTCTAACCATGCAATAAGAGCCACTAAAAATGCAGCTAAGTTCCTAGATGTGTTTTCCATGGGAATAAAGTATGAACTGGAAGCAAAATAGACAATTTTCTGTAACAGAACAGTATTATAATATATAATTTGATAGGTTGAAACTTTGGTTTTCTATTGGCTATAAATAATATAGTATTAAATGTCAGAACTGTTGGCAATTTGTGAAAGAGAGGATATGACAGGTGAGTATGGTAAGAAGGGGCTGATTTGTTATGCTTTGCCTGAGTAATAATTATATTATAATAAGCTATTTACATTAAATTCCATACTTCTCAGAGGAGTGGTGAATAAATTAGAGAAGATGGAAGACCCAGAGAGCAAATGTCACAATTTTCATACCATTTTTAAAATATTTCCTTATCAAAGTAAGAAATTAAAAATTTGATTTAATATGTATATTTTAATGCCAAATTTATTTGTATACATTGATAATAAAGTATTTAACAAAATTTTAAATGCAACTGTACAAAAAATTGTGACATGTGCACTTTGACCTACCCCATGTGAAAGGGTTAAGCTACATGTACAAGTTTTGCTATTATACAATTAACTCATGGAAGTGCATTTTATCTATTAACACTGTCTGTATTAACACACTATTTTTAATTAACATATATTACTGACAAATATGCTTTCTTTATTTGGTACTTAAAATTATATTCTGTTCTTTGCTCCAGTCAAACTTGTAACAAAATATGCAGCTCAAAGCAAAAGCCAACCAGATTACATCAAGTGAATATGAAAATTAAATTTCAGTAGGTCAAGGTTAAAATTTAATGCTATGTATGGTAGTCATTGTTAAATTTATTTCAATGTATTAAATTAATCTTTAATCATCCAAAGATTTTGAGCACAGAGAATAAAAAAAAGTTGGGATACATAATGATGAATGCCAACAAAGGACAAAAAAAAGAAATATCTGGATTGCACACCAAAACATGAAAACATTATTATCAAGCACATGATTATTCTAGAGCAAGAAAACCATCATGAAATATGAAAAACATCTGTTGTTATTTCAAATCATTTTTGAAACTACAATGCTATTTCAAAGGATCAAATAATCAGTCATGCTCTAAAGATACTTAGCTACATTTTAAGGAAATTAGCAAAGTATCAACAATAAGACAAGAAAAAATTGAATAATCTTATTATACAGACAGTCACTAATGGTAACCCTTTTTATAACTAGGAGAAGCTCTGCTGGTAACCAGTTTGTATGTACAACAGCTAGAACAGAACAATGTAAAAAATATTCAAAAAAGGGTAAAAAACTTCAATAATAACAAAGCTGGTTAAATTATCTCTGAATATGTATCATAATAAGGAAAAAGTAAAACTCAACAACTGTTATTTAATATGTACTTTATAAATAGTTTATATTATCATAATCTTTGCTTGAGTATCGAAAAAATGTTTGTAATTCTTACTGTTAAAATTAAGATTTGCAGTGAAAATTACATAAGATTAATAAATTTAATTGAAACTTTGCATCAATAGCTGCCAGAATCCTTACCATTTTTAGTTGCCATAGCCTGTGAAGATGTAACGGACATAGTCAAACTTCCAACAACTGGTACTGGTACTCTTGGAGAAGCTGTTGGAATCCGCACATTCAAATTCTGAAAAAAAAAAAAAATTATGTGTAATGGTACATGACATACAGGGTAGCAGAATGTCCAAAATCTTTTTGAGGGACCAAAGCTTGTTCTCGGTGGATGTACAGTGTACATCCAAACCAAAAGATTCTATATAGCAATGTATAAAAATCAACATATTCGTCTTAGTGAATCTAATTCTGGTATTACATATAGAATGCATGATATACTTTTTTTTAACATGCACTGATGTGACAATCAGATAAAACTGGCTTCAAACTTGAACAAAATGTTGTGTTGAAGATAATACTTTGTAAATTAAAATTAAATAACACATCATTGTCACACTGGCAATTTACTAAAACTTAAGTTGGAGGATAGCTAACATGAGAACATGTTAGATTTACATTAAAATCTTCAGGTCACAACCAAATCTTTCTATTGCATTGTGCATACGTGCACAACTATCCTGCAATCCTGGTGGCATCCTACCCATGTGTACACACACACACAATTTTAATGAGATGTATCTTTGTTTCTTTTTATATTTAAGAACTTTCCAATTACATATCACACCACACTTTCTATTATACACCTTGAAAGATTTTGTTCACATCAAAATAATCTTTGTTATTGAGCTGAACAACTGAAATCTTAATTCAGAGCCCCCACCAAACTTAGGTTGTTGTGTGTAATATTGACATTGCTGATCGTATGATGGAATGAAGTGTGACACTATGCTACATCAATACAGTACACATTATGTGGAGTTCGTCAAAAAACATGTTACAGCAAAATGCAAATTATCAAGTCAACAAAGTAATTGTGGTAAGTACATTCAACCAAAGTAAGTTTCAAATACCATAGACAATTTAACTGCTGTGATCAAGAGAATTTACAAGTCTAGAATGGGAAAAACAAACTTCATTTAAATAATTGCTAATGGCAAAGTATAAAACTCCACTTAAAATGAGTGCACAAACATTTCAACAACAGTGACAGTGTATGCCATCTTTAAAGAGGTATAAACTTGGAAGCAGCAGGCCTGTAAGTTTTCAACTAATGAAATCAGCAACTACAGCCAAAGAATTAATTTTTAAAAGGTGTCAAAAATAAATCTCACCTGAAAATATAAAAAAGTGGGACAGCAAATCTATGGAACCAATTCTTCAGAGAAAGTTAACATTTTCCTTATCCCCATCTCCTCACACAGAAATGTTATCTTCCTTATTTGTCTGCCTATGAGATTGCAATCCAATAGCTTTGAGGTAACTTCCACCTAAATTCACATTTGACGTAAACTACACTAGTGCATGATGATATCATCATGCAATAAAATTTCTTCACGCATCCTCCATGTGTAGTAACTCCCCCTATGCACTTGCACTCATGATTATTTCATTCATTGATGATGCAAGAAAAAAAAATGTACATCAGAAGTGGGGAAGATGGTGGGAATGTTATATCGAAAATACATTTTCAGGTAAGGAAAATATTAACTTCCGATACAATAACTCACCTCTTCACACAGAAATGCTAGATTCATAAGTTGAAATGATGGAGTAGGCAAAATTTAACCTAAATGAGTTCCTTTCAGAATGTGCCTGACGGGAAACTCATGGAAAGTAACACCCTATGACAGGGACTAAACAGAAGCACACGATGGGAGACCACATCTTGTCTTGATCAGGGTATACTCTTTGACAGGAATATAAGAGTAGGGAGGCAAATGAGCTCAAAGACATCAGGTATGAGAGAAATGAGAACATAATTGTCGAAGCACTTGTATACAGGCAGTTGGCAATCCAATATGTGTAGTGTGGTTTGGCCAAATCAGATTGTACTGTGTGTGCACATCTTGAATCTACTGAACAGGTTCTTGCTGTGCAAAGATGGTGTATTAGTTTTGTGGTACATTTTTATGAAGGGTGAACCATACTACTCTGACAGTGCCACTACTGCCCCAATTCTCATTGTATTGTGCTAAGCCCAACAGGTGAGGATTTTCCATGGTCCACCACCTTAGCAGCTAGGAACTGATAAATGGCAAAAGGGGGAGAATTTGCATTGGAGAGACCCAGAGAAGTGCTCAGATACCTGTTGGACCACCAGTTGGAAAGATATTTTACTGGAGATGATGCAATGGGTGACCACGAAGCTTTGTTTTAAAAGCCTCTAAGCTTGAGCAAAAGAAGTGTGTAAAATACTTCTCTGGTGCTGGTTTTTCTATGATAGTCCATGGTTCAAGGATAAGGACAGTTGATGGCAAAGACCCTGAAAGGGGGAAGTCTGTGATAAGCAGCACCGAACAGCCTGGATATGACACAGTGCCCATCTGGTTCAGAACAATCATATAGGTGAGAGATAGAAGGAAGGGAGATAAGAGAAAAAGTATGGTTACCTTCCCGAGCAGTGGAAGTATTAACAATGAAAGATGGTCCAGAGAGGGGAGTATATAAGTGCAGTGGAAAAGGGTGTGAGATGCATCAATCATAAACATCTGAACAATGGTGACTGCAGGCATGAAGGAGGAGGAAATAAATCTGGAGAGAAAGACAGTACAAAGAGCAAGAAGCCAACAGCTTGAATGAAGCATGCATGCAAAAACCACAGTATGTTTCCATTTAGGCATGGGAGTCAGATGAGGAGGTCAGACAAGACATCCCAATAACCAGCAATGGTGTAGATTAACAGCCAGGTAAAAAGGTAGAATGACAGTTCCCAGTAGGATGGTTAGAAGTAAAGGAGCAGTGGGTAGACCAATGACGAAAAACAGACACTTTTGTTTATAGACAAACATAGCGGAGGGTGACAGGAATGCAACAAGAATAATATCACACAATCAGAGTTTGGGCAGACAGACTGGACATACCCTACACATGAAGATAGAGGGATGAAAAATTGACATGTGAGGTTGTAGTAATAGAGAGGGGATATTGGGTAAAGGAAGGTGATCTGCATGCTAAGTGAAGAAGCAGTGGAAACCAAGGCTGAGCTGGCCAAAATGGCACTAACAATAAGACTCAACAAAGAGTATCCCGTATCAAGGCAAGGACTCGAGGAATAAGATAAAGAGGAGGACAAGTATATAGAAAGAGATAAAAATCAGGACTGGCTGAAAGCATCGAGAGCCAAAGCTAAAGGATGAGTAACTGAAGACTAGAAAAAAGGAAGTCTAGAGTTGAGGAAGCTGGTAAAGGAATCTATAACAGGTATTGCCAACCAAGAGATCTGGGGTGTAGAAACCACTCTATTGGTAGAATGTAGAGTTGCTGAGAGAGGCAATCCATCACCAACTTCTTAACTCCCAACAAATGAGAGACAACAAGACAAACCAGATAAGAACAGGCCCAGAAGATTAGGTCCAATGCCTAAAAGCAAAGAGTCCTGGAATGGGTGCCTCCTCGATGGTTGAGATAAGAAATAACCATGGAATTGTCCAAGTGGACCATAACCAAATGATCCACCAGTAGGAGCAGGATTGGGAATATACCTGACAAACAGTGAGAAGTTTGAGTGTGTTGAGGTGAAGTGAATGCTCATCCTGTGTCCAAACTCCAGAAGTCTTGTTTTCATCCTGAGATGTGCCTCCATCAGAGAGGGAAGCACTGATGAAGAATCAGATATGATTTGGAAAGATTATGGGCATGGTCTAGACACTATGACAAATCCTCAAGGAGAGGGAAGGTTCACAATCAAGAATAATGGAACCTGAGGAAGAATCCTTTTGATCTGCTAGGTCCACTATGGAAGGTGCATATGTGCATGTCCCAAAGAAATGAGGGGTTCCATATCCCCCAAAATGAAAGTATCTCAGAATGAGCTAACAGTAGTCAGTCGTTCAAAGAATGAGGAAAGAGCAACCCGAGAGCATGTAAGTGACAAATGCAAGTCTGAAGGGCAGTGCGCGAAACAGATAAACCACCCTGTGGAGAACAAACCAAAGAGAGGGGTCACGGGTGATGAGATATCAGGATATGCAAATAAAAATTTGCAACATTCATCTTGGTCTTCTATAAACCTGGAGAAAAAAACCCATCTGAGGGTGAGAAACGACTCCAAGGTAAAACGGTGCAGAATCAGACAAATCTATTACAGGCTGCCAGTTTCTGGTTTTCATGAAGATAACAAATAGCCTGGAGAAAGATGATGAAAAGGTGCAATGGCCTGTTGAGACAGAAGATCTTGTACCTTCTCTGACAGATGCTGGCTGATGGGGGAAGGAAAAGGGTACCTGAGACAAAGGAGGAGGGAAAGAAATTATAGTCCCTCTGATAAAACCCCAAGAACCCATGGATCTGTAGTGAAAGATTGCCAAAGGAAAACAAATTCACACAATCCAGCTCTCACTGGACTGGTACTGTTGGCAACATGCCCATCTATGTTGAATAAAATGATGAGATGAGAAACCCCTGGAAGGAGGAACAGGTAAGGGCAGAGAAGAACCAGGACGGGTAACAGGAAAAGGGGCTTATCATGGCTCTGACTGGGACAAACATGCTACCAAAGAGGAAAGGGTAAAGTGTTGATGCACAGACTACACACACAATTTCAAAGTCTCAGGTACATTATCAAAACATGCTGCCAAAGAAAAAGAGTCATACGTAAATCCCTAAAATAAAGAGGCAGGAAACTAACCTGGGAAGAGGTCGCATTGCGACCCATAAGATCCCAACAACAGTGAAACCACATGTGTAAAGCGAGAGACGAAGATGACAAACAAGCCAACGTGGAGGTAATAAGGGATCATAGAAAGTGGGGCAGGAATGAATAAAACATCACATACCTGAGAAATCATGTCGAAAAATGCTGTATTAGGCCTAGCTGATTCAGCAGGTGGGGCATAGGAAGACATGGCAAAACCCAGTGGTGGAAAAAAGACTATCAAAATCCTTGTCAGCCTGAACAGGTTTGGCATGTTTAGGAGAAGAAGGCTGACCCATCTAACAATCAATTTCTCGGCAGATAATCACAGATAAATCCAACTAGTCTCTTCCACCTGCCTGTGAAATAGTGCTAGAAGGAGGTATGATACCAGAAGTGGGAATATGAGCCTCAGAATTCATTGTAGAAATATATATCAAACGAAATATTTGATGTAAAATATGCATATGTGAGAAAAAAAAAATAAAGACTGGGAAAATAAGTTAAAGTAAAAAATTTCTTCAATGTAAAAAAAAAAAAAATTAACTAGAAGAAAGCCCACTTCGGAAATTAAACGATTAAAGTCACGAATGGAAACCACATGAATAGCGCCAAAAAAAATATTTGAACACAAGTACTGCCAAACAAGAAGTAATAATTTGGTAGAATTGAATAGTGAAATATTGAATTGTATCATGAGAGTATGTTGCACTCTTATTGTTGGAGGGTTTTTGCATGTGAGACACATTGGAATCAGTCAATTCTAATTGAGGGGAGATAAAAGGCTTGTGGCATGTGTAAAACATTTTTCTTGCATATAGAGGGCAGCACTGGACGAGAATAGCTATTTATGTGAGCGGAGGTAATGTGCCATATTGGAAATTTACTGGTCAAAAGAAGGAACTACTGCAATAAGGGAACTGAGATATAAACCTAATACAACCATGGTGCTTGAAGCACTAATATCAATTACAGTATTATTTTAGTATTCTTTCAAAGTCTGTGCTTAGTAATTATAGTGGAATTAAAATTTTGAATATACCTTTTAACAGTATAAGCCATTTTTTAACATAATGGTAAACTTTTGCTACAAATGACATGTCACAGGCATATCTAAATGGGAGCAAAAGTGTTAAAATACTTGGCACTCACTTACCATGAATGATAATTTTGATTGATCAAGATGAGATCTCAGAGGCTGTGAGACAGCAGGATGAAGAGAAACTTCTCTTTGCAAAGGTGACTGAATTAGATTTAATGATGTTGTAGACACTCTCTGAACCAAATCAATTGGTTGTGCCTGTTCGCTCCTCTCTCGCTCATCAGAATGCTTAGATTGATTTGAAATTACCTTCTGAGCAGCACTCATTCTCTCCTTAAGGTAAAAAAGATTGTATTTTAACTACAGGCTTTATGTGCATGTACTATTTAGATTATACCTAAAGAAAGAATAAGTAATTAATTGTTTAACATTGAAATTCTGTTGACAGAAAGTATTGGGAGGATTTTTCAGTTTTCATATTGATATCGTTCTCTCTACTAAATTATATGTACATCTACTATAGGTAATAGCAACCTTATGCAGAAGTATATTTTACAATATCCTTGAGAACATGTAAGAGTATCATAAATTTGAAAATAACTGAAATAAACTAAACTTCAACTACTGTGAAACAACTCATCCTTAATGCAACAAGTCCAGTATACTAATTAAGGTTCACTATATATATGTAATTTTAAAAACTTTTGAAGGATCATAAGTACAATAAAATGTTAGCTACAACACGAAATGTGCATTTTATCAGGAAATGTACCTGTACATGAAAGTAAAGAAAAATTACTCAAATTATACTTCACTTCAAAAGACACACTGGAAACATTTCCCAATATACATATACCTCTCCCACAGGTCCAACCATACAAGAACAAAACAAACTAAAAAAACAGTCACACTATACTTTCCCAGCCAATTCAAAATTAACCAGGGCTTCCTTGAAAATACAGATTTTCATACACCATGTTTTTTTATTCAAAAGTAAATAACATTTGAATCAATGATTTTCATAACAGACATTTTGTCTGCTATCAGCACATTTAGTTTTGTTACTTAGTGATCAATACATAAAATGTGTGATGATGATGAAGCTCATCACTTATCAATAATGTTATTTTGTAATATATGATCAAACAGATATGTTTCATGTACAGTAGAACATCCAGTTAGTGGAGGATAATGATAAGTGAGTTTCTGATGATGTTATGGAAAAAAGAAACTTGTTCAGACAATTAATGTAGGTTCTACTATAAATAAAACTAAACCTACTACTCTGATAGATTTTCTAAAAGTTTTATCTTTTCTCTAAAGAATATGAAGAGCTTTTACAAATAATGAGCTCATTTGTTAAATTCTTTTTTCAAATTTTGAAAAGATTTGGTAAAAAACATTGTTGACCAAAAACACTTAGATGTTAACAACCTTGCAATGATTAATTTTGAGAGATTTATTGACAATATTTAGAGCTAAGAAAATTTGATTTTACAAAAACAAAAGTGTACTTCTTTAGAGAATTAATTTTAAAATGTGTAAAAATTTACAACTTTTAAAGTGTAAGTAAAGATAAGAAATATATGAAGTACAAGGAGTATATAATATAAACTTGTAAATAACAAGGGATAATTTAGTCCACTAGGCTATACTTGAACACTCACCTTAGGAAAAATTTAGAAATTTAAACCCACCTTTTACTTTACAGGAAATTCCCCTCTTAAATTCCTGTAAACTACAGGTCTTCACTACTGCCAATGGCAGCTAATACTTTAAGTCAATTACCCTTCTATAATAAAATTGCATTAACTGAGCTTAACCAGTTTTGTCGAAATTTTAAACTTATTTCCTGTCATACTATTATCTTACAAATATAGCATAAAGAAATCTAAGGCCTTAATTCTATCAATCTCCCAGATAATTCTGTAAAACTCCAATATGATTAGCTTTTACCGTTTTTTCTGCAAAGAAAATAAATTGAGAGATCTTAACCTATCCCTTTAAGATAGCCCTTCTATCACCCTGGCATCATCCTAGTAGACTTCCTCTAAATTTTTTTCCAGCAAGTTAATATTATTTCTTAGATATGAAGACCAAAACTACACATAGTATTGCAAGTGTGACCTAATGCCATTTTTAAATGCATTGGAAGTGTTTCAATACAAAAAAATATCATTTTTATAAACAGTCCACACTCAATGGAAGCTAAAGGCTAAGAAAACTACTATTAGGTTTAATCAAAAGCAGGTTGTCATATTTAAACTCTGTCTTTAATGTTCATAGCTCCAGATTTTAAACAAGGTATCTAATAGTATGACTATATGTTGAAGTCATTCCCTAAGAAGGGGGAAAAAGCTGTATACAGTATTCAAAACAAGGCCTCAGCAGCTATAAGTAAAGATTAAGAAGTGAATATCAAACTTGCTGACACAAGGATATTATACATATGAATGTTATAGGGCCATATATATTTTGTTACCTGAATAGTAGGACAGTTCATTATCATTATTAATTAATAGTAGCCTTGACAATTCATCATGATGCTAGAAATATACAACTTAATCAAATAAATAACACATATTGTCTGTTAAAATATATCAAGAGCAGAAGATTAACATTCTAAACTATATTTTTAGAAATTTAAAATCAACTGAATTACTTTTTCACAAAGACTAACAGGTTACATACCCACTCTTTACTTCCACCTGTTGTTAGAGTCCACGAATCATGCAAGTTACTTAAAATGCTTGGTATGAAGATACAGTAAAAGAGAGACTTTTATCAAATAACTATTTAATTTAGCTATTTAATCAAATCTACAACCAATTACATTGTAAACAACTGTGTTTATAACTGGCTCTCAGTACTTTTTAAGGATTGATTTAGCAGCTCTGTATATCCTCATAAGTAACATGTATTTCCTAGATCTTTTATAAAAGTCTAAAAGAATTCCTCATATGCACATTCCTACTTCCATTTATTGAACTGCAAATAACGTTTTTGATTTCAGTTTTATAACATAATTTATATTTTTTCCATCAACAAGAAAGTTAAGAGTGTAAACATATTAAAACATTTATTCAAATAGTTTGGTAAATAGTATGGAAGAATAAGTTACCATCTTAACATTACTTTTTATTTACACCTACATGAACATATGTTACTTGTTGTAAGCAAAGGATAAATCAAACACCATATGTATAAATTTTGGTATTTTCTTATACTGCTTAAAATAATCTCTAAGAATTTTTATAATCTAACAGTATAATTCCTTTGTAACAATAACATAATGCTGAAGGCAAGCTGTAATAAAATGCTTTTGTCAATTATAGTACCTTTTATGAAGCTATTCCATTAAAAACAAGCATAAAAGCAAATCTGAAGCATAATAAATATTTACTCCATCATTGAAATATCACTTCAGAAACAGCATGTAAATGTGAGGTATTAAGGTAACACCAGATATACAAATCAGATGAAATATTCTCTAAATAAGATCAATTCAATTCTGAGAAGAAAAAAGTGCACATTTCTGAAGTAAAAGCATTTTAACTTTAGTATTCATTAATCTTGAATTTTATTGGAATCATTATTAAAATCTGATTTTAATTTTTTTAGCAATCAACAGTTATCTCAGTTGAGTCAGTGGTTTCAACTTTAGATGTTAACTAACAATAAAACCAATTTTTGCTTTAAGACATGAGCAAGTAATAATATACACACAACAAGAAACTGATTGGTCATTCAAGGTTATTCTTGCACACCCACCCTTGAGAAGAGTAAAAATTTAAACAAACCCTATTTTTTTGCAAGAGACCATTGATTCTCCTCAAACTCCT